TTTTTTTTTTTTTTTTTTTTTTATTTTTTATTTTTAGAAGACTATATATTGTCAAACGTTTGCTCAGATTAGTGGTTAATGAGACCACTCCGATTACAAATACGCTTAGGTGCAATGGAAACGAATCGTTGTTTGATATAATGGCTGAGCTTCTTAGGCGTATTTATACTTGTGTTTTCATAGTGCCTAATTTTCCATTGTTCTGCCAGCAATCGAGCCTGTTTTGGCGAGCCAGTGTCGAGGTGCATCGTGTCTGCGAATGATCTTGCGAGATGCGATATTTTTTTACATCTTTCTTTTTTGTTCGACTTTTTTCTTAGCTGACAAGGACTGTTTTGTCTTTTTCGAACACACACGATTCATCCCCCTTTCTGTCACAGTCCTGTTCTTTTCGTTTAGCGATGCGCAACCCTAAGGCCAATTTCATAGGGAGAAAATAAAATTAAGTCGCATATGCATGGGAAATGATGACAGTAATTAACAACTGGATTAGTTGAAAACTTTGTATTATGTATAATTACAACGTAAATGAATTACTATGTAATTGTAATATGATACAACGTAATTAGATTACGTAATTATCAACCATCGATTAATTGCGGTGAGTGGACATGTTGAAACAAATTGAATCATTTACATGGGAGTCACAGTATCATTTCAATTCAAAATTCAACATGAGGAATATACAGTGACAAAATTTATTAAGTAATGCACGATAAACCTCCTTCCCTTATCGTATGCTATCAATACTTTCTTTTCACTTTTTTGTTAGCAACTTTTTTATCATCCAGAAATATGTGTTTGAGAGGTGATATTTTTAATTGCTCTGATATACATATTGTACATCTCCGTGTGAAATCGGCCTGACTGTTCTACACTACCCTCTTCCCCCTTCGAGCAAACTGTTGTTCCGCTCTTGTTATTTGTATTGTAACGTAGATAGACGAAGGTGGCGAGAAATCTACTCGAGCTAACGGTATTCATTGCTTAACCCTTTGGGGACGCCAATCTTTTAAAATAAGAGGCAAAAGTCAACGCGATCGGATTCACAGACAGTGAGCGTGAACGTTTGCAATTCGATCGATGATATTTTTAGAGAAAAGATAACGCGTCTATTTATTTTTGTTACGACACGGAAATGAAGTTGTTCCGATCGTTGAGAGAGAAACGTTGTTACAACAGCACAGTTACCTG